CCATCAAAAATCTGACATAAATTTGTGTTGTAATACCTATTTTATCCTTTTATTCTTCCCAAAATGCTCAAGAAGATATATATGTTATGAATCTCATACTATAGGAGTTTTTTGTGCACATTATCTTAAACTTTTTTTTCTTTATATATATATTTAACATTTAGTGTTTTCACTCTCCAACATTTTTTTTTCTCTCAACATTGTATTTCTTCCCCTATTTATCATCTTTTCAAGTTCTAATTAGACTTCTGGATAATTTTATTTAACTAAGGAAAAATTATATAAGAAAAGTAGACAATTGATGCCTTGCAAAAGGTCCTGAATTTACACCATTACCAGCACAGGCCGATCAACATTTTCATGTCAAATTTTCCACTTACTATACAAGTATAACAACTGTTTTGTAACGTTTAGTGCATGTGAAGCACAATTTAATAATTAAATTATGTAGCTTTAATGTTTCTTTTGATAGAAGTTTTAAAGCTTTAACAACATGAATTATATGTATACCTTCTTATATAGCAGAAAACAAGTTATTAGTATCTGATTCTACAAAAGTAATACTTGCTGGGTCCATGTAGCCATAGTAATTCCCCAAGTACTTCTCCTCAGACAGAGGATCGTCGTTCACCTTTTCTGATTTTTCATGTTTCAACTTGCAGGAGAATACTCTGTTTTTTTTACCTTCGGAATCCAAATCCAAACTGTTAGGTAGGATGCTTGACTCGGAATTGGAGTAGAAAGTAGCGAAGGTGCTTAAACTGATATATATATCAATAGAGAGAGACACCCATCAACAAGGACCCAAATTGCTGCAACAGCGAAAAACAATTCCGGCAAACTTGTGCACAACCGGGTGAAGAAAATGGGTATCATCTCCATCACTGGGAAGACCATAACCTTAGTGACCGTGAAGACCGGCGAGAAGTACCGAAGCTTGCTGGAACTAAGGATCACCAGAAGCTCCGGCGAATCCACTGTTTTGGTTTCGCTAAAACTGTGGGGTCTCTTCATCGTCCAGTTTGGTTGCTGTTGCTAAAGCTTTCAGTTTCATAATTCCGAAGCCTCAAGTGTGTATATAAATTAAAATTTCCTATATGTTAATTAAATGCCGGATTCGAAGTCGCTCTGCATTTGAAATGCCGATGGTGTTCGCTTTGACAGATCGGCATTTCAGACTCAAATCAGAATTTTCAAGAAGGCGTTGAAGCCACATGTGATTTCAGGTTAGGAAATTCATCATCCAGTTGATGATAACACCTTCAACTTCATCTTCTCCGGTGGCGGCAGATTCACCTCCTTTCTCTCTTAAATTTTCTTTCACATGATCCCCCTTCTCTCTAACATAGGTGGTCTATATCAAAGAGATGATTAATTATAAAGGCTCTGTGTCTTTGGAACATAGGTGGTCTTTTGATAAAGACTATGTGTCTCTGATCATCACCGACCCAACCGAATAGCTTCTAATAATCACCGACCCAACCGAATTGCTTTTAATCATCACCAATTGAACCATTGAAATCCATGAACCTGTAGAGACCATGAAGAGTACATCGAAGCCTTATCAGTTCCGGTGAGTCGCAAAGCTTCAGCTCTGTCCGGCGACCTCAGTCCAGACCATCTAGTGAGAGTAGCAATTTCAGACCACCACCACCTGAGAATTTTAAGCTAGCCAAATTGAGAGCACAGAGGTACAATGCCAACATGTAACAGTTCCGATGAACCTCCGGTGATCTTCAGTTCCTGCCCGTCAGAGACTGATGCAAATGGGTGAGGTGAGTGGGAAATACAATGATGGGCCAAACGATGTCACTTGGTTTTTTGTGTCCTTTTTCGTCATTTCACAACATAATGTATTTTTAAATTATTTGTAAAATGTATGGGTGAGGGTAATTTAGACAAATTCTATTTTTAATGTGTCAGATGGACTTATTTGTACAAAATTAAAACTTTAGGGGTGTTTTATGCACGTGAAAGGTGTGATATGCATTACATCTATACTAGAGGGGTGTTTTCTGCACTTCAGCCATTTTTTAAATATCAAGCATGATAGGTTTAAGTTTTATAAGGTAATTAAAAATAAAAATAAAACATAACAAACATATCAGAATTGTATTTGATGTTTGATAAATTTTTTACTCGTTGATAAACAACATATTATTTATGATAAAATAACATTCGAACACTATCACTCTCTCCTTTTTTTTCGAGGAAATTTTTTTCCTTCGCTCAAAATCCCAAAAATTTCAAAAAAAAATCATAATATCTTAGAATTGTATAAGAGGTAATTAAAAATCTCAAAATAAAATCATAATATTATATATACAATAGTGTGGTGTTCTCATTTACACGCTAATAAGTATCTTAATTTACATACTAGTGGTGTGGTGTTTTCATCAATGTTATATATATTAGTTATATATTACTAAATTTTTATATATATTAATTATTTATCATTATATTCATTTTGTTGCATAATTATATTATGTAACATTTTGTATATTAGCACTTCTTCTCTTAATTTAACTTTATAATTATATATGTTAGTAAATATGATTTTAATTCGAATTCGAATCCGATTCAATCCGAGTTCGAGCTAAATAGGATATGGATCGGGACATTCAATCTGATAATCCGTTAATGATCCGAATCGATAATTTGTTTAGTTAACAAATCGGATATGGATTTGATCGATTGATCCGAATCCAATCCATTGACAGACTTAGTTGTGTTGTGGCTAGCCAGTGTGTTGGACTCGCAATTGATGGGCCCCACACCACTTGTTTTGATTGGCTAGATGGCCAAATCTTGGCCATAATTGCATCATACGCTGTAGTGACCAAAATAAAGTGGTGTGGGGCTCATCACATGACGGGCTACACCAATTCATTTTAACTTGCCCCCATATGGTAAGTGACAAGTCTAATGGGCTCTCCATGGTTTGTTTGGCCACCGTTTTTACTTCGTGTTTTTTGCTTCTATCAATATATTGTAGTGAAGCAAAAGTAAGAAATGTGTTTGATAATGTTTGTTGCGATTTGAATAATATCAAAGCCTTTCCAAGAAAGAGGGTAAAATTGAAAAGCAAAAAATTGATACTTCGGATTGTTTCGCACAGTAGCCAAAGGCATTGTTAAAAAAAAAAAAAAAAAAAAACCTTTAAAATGACATTTTAACTAACTATTTAATTTTTTTAACTTTTAACATTTTTTTTACCAAACATATTTTCATTTTTTTACTTTAAAAAATCTTACAACAAATATATGTTATTAAACATACTTTTAAATTTAAATAGTATTAAACACACTTCAAAATATAAATAATGTTTTGCTTGGGGTCTAACAAAAGCAACAATTCTGATTGTGAAACGTAACCCCCCTCTCTCTCTCTCTCTCTCTCTATACATATATATATATATATATATATATATATATATATCAAAAATTTGATGGGCGATACCGAAGAGTCAGAAATGGACAAATTCAAATTAATATGTCATGAGATGTTATTTCAAATTCACGACTCACTCACATTCATTTCACATGTGATATGCTGTGGTTTATATTCCATACTTCAAATTAGGTATCCAAATGAGACAGACTGATTTCGAGATTTAAAATTTGCTTATAACCTAAATCAATAAATCTAATAATAGCCTAATAGTTTAAAAGCTTAGGGACTATATTAATACAGAAGATGGTAAGGTGAGTTTTGAGTTGTTTCTTGGCTTCTTATGTGGGTGATTGTCATGATCTCTCCTTCCTTCTTCTATTCGTCAAAAACAATGAAAGTAGATAACAATGTTTTTTCCTTACAGCACTCTCAATCAGAGAGAACTTTGGATTCAATCTCAATTCTGACTCCAATTTATAGACCTACACTTCACTTACAATTACATTACATTGTTTCACCGGATGATATGGACAACTGGACGAGCATGATATGGAAAATTGCCATTTTGCGCAAACCAAAATTCATCTTTTTCATTGTACTCAGTTTTCCTCCGTCCCCTCCGAAATCTCGTGGTAGTGGTGGTTGTGGTTGTTTTTATTTATTTTTATTTTTTAAGAAACTCACGTATTTATATAATTTTGTTCTCTCTAAAATTAATTTGAAAACTAATATTAAGACACGTCATTTACCACATTTCACTTTCTCTCTTTCTAAATGTGGCAAATATCGTATTTTAATATTAACCTTCAAATTAATTTTAAAAAAAGTAAAAAAAAAAAGATGTCCCAAATAAAAAATCCGTATCCATAATCCTCACTAAACACCGTTCAACCATAAAGAAATATGTCAATCTTCTTTAAAATTTTACCAGACATACAATCCCAAATTAAATCATGTAATAATTAATTGTAACGAACCTCAACATTTAACTTTTGATTTGAAAGACAAAAGGTGGTGGAAATATCCATCCATAATTATTTTTTGACAAATAGTAGTATGTGTTAGTACCACTGAGTTGAATTGGTCATCATCTTTTCTCATTTTGTCCTTTCTATTTTTTCATGTTGCTCATGAGTGAGAAAAGATTGGATACCAACTCAACAACCAAAATCATCCTTCGTTCCATACACGCGTTAAGGAAGGGTCAACTTTGCCGAGTGAACCCGAAAATAAAATTAAAAAAAAATAATAATAAAAAAAAAATAAAATTCCCTTTCTAGGAAAATGTAAAGAAAATTACTCACTTTCTTGGACAAATATGTCCATATCTTGTCCCAAACACAATGCTATAAAATATATACTCATACGAAGTACAAGTGTTACAAAAAACATCCGCCCACGCACACGTGTCTGACAGAAGAAGCGAGTGTCATACGTTTCCAATAAACAAGCGAGTGTCATACGTTATACAAGTATTTTGAGTGGTCATAGTTTATAGTACTACTTGTTTATTGGTAGATATTTCGATTTAAAAAAGGTACAAGCCTACAAAGCGTGTTGAGGATGAAGACGCCACACAAACAGACAAGCAGAGAAGACTTGGACCATCCTCACCTTCCATCTATATGCACAACGATTAACTCGTTTTCAAATGTCTCTCTCCCATTCTCTCTGTGAAACATCGCAGAAAGTACACATTTTCTAGGGTTTCATTTCCTCCTCTTGTTAATTTCCAGTCTTTCGATTTTCTATAAGTCTCTCTATCTCTATATCTGAAACATCTATCTATCGGCACACTTAGCATCGAAGAACAATCTACGAGCTTTTTTCTTCTTCTGCCTGTGAACTCAAAAGATTTATAACAACCGATCGATAAAGCTGAAAATAGGTAATTTTTTTCTTATCTGAACTACTTTGTGTTTTCTTTTCTGCTGAATTAGTTGTTAATGAAGGATTTGATGCGTTTCTTCGATGATGATAAAGTTAAATCAAAGCTATAGTTTGCATAAAATTCGAAACCATATATAGTTGTTAATATTTGTATATATGAAAATTTGTATATATATATATATAGTTGTTAATATTTGTATATATGAAAATTAGTGTATATATATATATATATATATATAGTTGTTAATGACGGATTTTATGTGTTTGTTTAATAATCAAATGAGTTCTATTGGAGCTATAGATTCGATTAAAGTTGAAACCATATGTGAAAATTATGACAATTTTATGCGAAGCTAGAAAATAGATCGTTGAGAATATTCTCCTGGAAATTTTCCTCTTGGAGAAAACAGAGCCTTGTCTTTGTTCCTCCTTTCTTACTATTTTCCCGTTTATGTTAAAGTTCAGTTTGATGCGTATATATAAAGCTGAGGAAAATCCTATTGAAAGATTCTGAATTTTCCAGTCCTCCCTTTTAGTTACTGATTCAGAGAGGGGATTGGATGATATGGTTGTTTTTGTATCATAAACAGTTGTAGAATGTTTGGCTGGTTGTTATGGTTTTCGGAATTTGCAAATGTTTGATGAAGGAGCTAAAAGTGTTGTAGCTTTTACTGAGAATCTACATTCTTTTTAATCACTTTATATCTGAAAGCCGTATTGAACTTTTTCTATATCTCTGGGATGGGATTCATATAGGTTTATCGGATATTCTATTGCTTCTTTTGATTTTCACAATTTTAATATGTAGACCTGCTTAAGGGTGTTGTGTTCGCACTCACGAGAGTGCATCTATATGTTGGTGAATCAGCTGAAAAGGCAATATCTCAGAAACTAGCTTAGCCTAGTGCTCAAAGATGGACCATCTATCTGCTACTTTAATTTTATTACTTTCCCTCCAGTAATGAAAAAGTGATTGTTGTGAAATTGGTGTTGTGCTCTCGCTTAAAGATGGAGCATCTTCTTGTCATTTGATTCTGTAACTTTTTATTTTATTTTTCTTTATTCTTGATGGGAACAATTTACCGAATTGAATCCCTCTAAACAATAAAATTATTATTTTTTTCTTAATTACTCTGTTAATTGCCAGTCAATCACGGTTTGGGGCTGTGTCAATATTTACCTTGCCAGTAAATTTATAGATAGTGAAAATGTCATGTCTGCCATCGTTTAATTGGGTTGATGCAGGTTAATATGACTATTTTCTACTTGATTTATATTACCTTTTGTGTGGCTGGCATCTTGAATTAATCACCTTATCTGCCACATTTCGCTTGCTGTGTCTACAATTATATGTGAATAAGCTATTTTATGTTTACATATTGTTCCACATCTCTTCTCTACATCTGTGTTATACGACAATTTAAAAATCTCAGTTTTATTTATTAGGGATGGGTTGAGATTGTAGGGAGGGACCTAATTACCCATGACAACCTCTGACTTAACAAAATATTTCCCTTGACAAAATGATATGGTGAACCAGGACTTCCATGCCTAACCTCTATCTGTTGGATTGGTTTTTCAGAGTGTTGGGTGTTCAGTTGAGGTTTTATGGTTTTCATTTTGAATTTCATATATTCCAATTTTAGGCAGTTTTGCTTGAAAACTAATTTTTGATAAATCTGTGTGCCTTATTAGTTTATAATTGTTAGATAAATTTTGTTAATTGAGATTTGAGAGGACTCAATTTCAGCTATGCTTCAATTGTAAGTCTGCTGTGTGCTCATACCAATGTTGCATGTAGTATGTACGTCCCAAAAATATTTTCTTCTTAACAGTGTCTCATCCATTACTTATATATTTTCACTTCACACTGATGAGTTCAGTTTTCCCTTTGTTTCATATCTTTCAAATTTCGGACTAGTGTCTTTTTACTTTTTCTGTCGCATTGATCCAAGTGGTTGTTCTTATCACCGTTTACAACAAATAATATTTTTCTTTTTTTCTTTTCAGGTGTAACTCATTTCCCATCACTTCTTGACAGCGGGTACTTGAATTTACTCTCATCAGCACCTCAACAATTTGTGAAATTCTTTTTGATAAGGCTCTATGAGCAATCTCAAGCTAGGAGTGGAGGTTGTGAGCGCCCACAACCTTATGCCCAAAGATGGGCAGGGCTCTTCCAATGCCTTTGTGGAGCTTCACTTTGATGGTCAAAGATTTCGCACCACAATCAAAGAAAAGGATCTTGATCCAGTTTGGAACGAGACTTTCTATTTCAACATCTCTGATCCAGACAACCTATCTAACCTCACCCTTGATGCTTATGTCTACAACAACATGAAAGCCACCCAATCCAAATCATTCCTTGGGAAGGTTCACATCAGTGGAACATCATTTGTCCCATATTCTGATGCCGTTATATTTCATTATCCTTTAGACAAAAAAAGCATTTTCTCACGTATAAGAGGGGAGCTTGGCCTTAAAGTTTTTATCACCGATGACCCTTCCATCAAGTCCTCAAACCCACTTCCTGCAATGGAAGCTTTTCCCTTTACAAATCCACACTCAACCCATGCTCAAGCTTCTGATCAACAAGTTCCAAACTTGGTCCAAAACATTTCTAATAATAAACCCCAGTCAAGACACACATTTCATCATCTGCCGAACTCAAACCATACCAAACAACAGCATCTTTCTTCTTCAGCAGCCATCCAACAACCAATGAAATATGGAGTTGATGAAATGAGATCTGACCCACAGCCTGCAAAAATTGTCCGCATGTACTCAGGTTCGTCATCACAACCAGTTGAATATGCACTCAAGGAGACAAACCCCTTCCTTGGAGGGGGACAAATTGTTGGTGGCCGAGTTATTCGTGGAGACAGGCCATCTACCACATATGATCTTGTTGAACCAATGCAGTACCTTTTTGTACGAGTTGTGAAAGCTCGTGACCTCCCTACCAAAGATGTTACAGGCAGTCTCGATCCTTATGTTGAAGTAATAATTGGGAACTATAAAGGAATCACGAAGCACTTTAACAAGACTAAAAACCCTGAGTGGAATGTGGTGTTTGCCTTTTCAAAAGATATAATGCAATCCTCTGAGTTGCATGTTGTGGTTAAGGATAAGGATCTGGTGAAAGATGACTTTGTTGGGATTCTTCGGTTTGATCTCCATGAGGTTCCCACACGAGTTCCTCCAGATAGTCCATTGGCTCCAGAATGGTATCGGCTTGAAGACAATAAAAGAGAGAAAACGAAAGCAGAATTAATGCTTGCTGTCTGGATTGGCACACAAGCTGACGAGGCTTTTCCTGATGCTTACCATTTGGGTACAGTTAGTTCTATTGATAGCTCAGAAGCCTCCTCACATACGCGCTCAAAAGTTTACCATTCTCCAAGATTATGGTATGTCCGTGTGAATGTGATTGAGGCACAAGACTTGGTTGTAACTGAGAAGACTCGTTTCCCGGATGTATATGTTAAGGTACAAATTGGTAACCAGATTTTGAAGACAAAAACTGTTCAAGCTCGGAACATGAATGCATTTTGGAATGAGGATCTGATGTTTGTTGCTGCTGAACCCTTTGAAGATCACTTGGTTCTTTCTGTTGAAGATAGTATGGGCCCCAATAAAGATGAGATCATCGGGAAGGTCTTTATACCATTGAAAGCTGTTGACAGGCGTGCTGATGATCATGATCGAGTTGTCCAACCCCGGTGGGTCAACCTCCAAAAGCCAAGTGCTGACGATGCGGAACAGACTAAGAAAGATAAGTTTGCTAGTAGACTCAATCTTCGTGTCTGCCTTGATGGAGGTTACCATGTGCTCGACGAGTCAACTCAGTATAGTAGTGATCTCCGGCCCTCAGCTAAACAGCTGTGGAAGCCATCAATAGGTATCCTAGAACTTGGCATTTTAAACGCAGATGGTCTTCACCCAATTAAAACAAGAGATGGAAGGGGTACGACTGACACATATTGTGTAGCAAAGTATGGTCACAAATGGATTAGGACCCGAACAGTCATTGATAGCTTGAACCCGAAATTCAATGAGCAGTATACATGGGAAGTTTATGACCCAGCCACAGTTCTCACTGTGGGCGTCTTTGATAACAGCCATCTCGGCGAAAAGGGTTCAAATGGTAACAAGGACATGAGAATTGGGAAGGTTCGAATTCGGATGTCTACCCTTGAAACTGGTCGTGTTTATACACACTCTTATCCATTGCTAGTCCTTCACCCCTCTGGGGTAAAGAAGATGGGGGAAATACATCTAGCAATTCGGTTTTCATGCACATCTATGATGAACATGATGCATATATATTCAAAACCCCTTTTACCAAAAATGCACTATTTACGGCCATTGACCGTAATACAGCTTGAAATGTTGCGGCACCAAGCTGTCAACTTAGTGGCAGCTCGGCTCAGCCGGTCAGAACCCCCTCTCAGGAAGGAAGTAGTTGATTACATGGCCGATGCAAATTCACATCTTTGGAGCATGAGGCGCAGCAAGGCAAACTTTTTCCGGCTAATATCAGTTTTCAATGGATTATTTGCTGTTGGGAAATGGTTTGGTGAACTTTGCATGTGGAGGAACCCTGTCACTACTGTATTAGTACATGTCCTTTTTTTGATGCTTGTCTGCTTCCCAGAACTGATTTTACCAACAGTGTTCCTTTACATGTTTCTAATAGGGCTTTGGAATTACCGATTCCGTCCAAGGTACCCTCCTCACATGAACACGAGAATATCTTATGCTGATGCTGTACACCCTGATGAGCTTGATGAAGAATTTGATACATTTCCAACATCACGGGGTACAGAGCTGGTCCGACTTAGGTATGATCGGTTAAGGAGTATAGCTGGAAGGATTCAGACTGTTGTGGGTGATGTGGCTTCACAAGCTGAGCGGGTTCAGGCACTCCTCAGCTGGCGAGACCCACGCGCCACAGCTATATTTGTGACATTCTGTCTTGTAGCTGCCATCGTGTTATACACGACACCTTTCCAGGTACTGGCTGTTCTGACTGGATTTTATGTGATGAGGCATCCCAGGTTTCGGCATAAGTTGCCCTCTGCACCACTCAACTTTTTCCGCCGTCTACCAGCCAGGACAGACAGCATGCTGTAATAAAGCTGGGTTTTCCAGGCAAGTCTTTGTCTGCCTGTATATCAAAACCCGCCTTTTCTTGCTATTTCATGTATATTTCTGGTACTTGTGTAATTTGTTTTGACTCTGTCATTGTCGTGGAAGTGTATGCAACTATGACATACTGGGAACTGATTATTGTTATGTAGATTTTGTGTTCAGCAACCAGAGGTATATGGGTGGTTCACTGGTTCTTGATTAAAAAAAGTGGTACATTGAAGCAACAGTGTTCTGTTGTTGATGTGCATATGTTATGAAGTGTTCATAAAATATATAGATTAAGGAGACATTGCTATATGGACAATTCAATTCTTCCAATTTTCAAGTTACTGACTTTAGTTAATAATGTAGTGATTCCATTGAGCAAAGATCGAAAACTTGATGTTGTCAATTGCCTTTGTGATCGTATTCGTAGGTAGGGTTCATGCATTAACCTATCTTTCAAGGGGTCTCCAGATTTATTGCCAAGTTTTAAATGACCCCTAATTCTGATTAGGCACCTAGTTTCAAATAATGATTTCCGAGTATATTTCTGTTTCAGTGTCATCCTTTCATTTTGCATGTTGAATTGAGTAAATTATTTAATACTTGTTACATGCAAATATATTTGCACTTTTGCAGTGATAAAGTCTTAGAACCCATTTTTGCTTCAAGATTTTGTTATGTAATGTTTGATATCCATGGTTGTCAAGATTTGGAGAATGAAAATTATGTCTCAGATGTAGCATAATTGATTGTAAGATTAGAAATCATTGAATAAATATTGAATTTTTATAAATTTAAATTGATTTTGCTGAAAGGTCTTCCTCTATGGCAAAGCCACTGTCTTACTCGATTTCTCATTCTAGCCCCCTTGTCCCAGAAGGGTGTGTCAAGGAGTGGCAAATATGAGAACAAGGGCTTCTGCTTGTTCGACCTTTTCTAAACCTGTTTCTATTGATGATGATGGTGCCATTTATCGTGGACAATTTGTGAGAGTTATGGTTGAAGTAAAGTATTCATTTTATGATATTTTGTGAATCATGTATGTTAAATTATTTGTTGTTAAAAACTGAATTCTTCGTACATTATGTTGATTCGAAGATGTTATTACATGATCATCAATGAGTAATGAATTGCAAAAATGTGAGACACAATATAAAACTTAATTGAACCAAGTATTGATGTGATCTTGAATCGTATTCTAACTTATCAGCCCATAGAGCATGTCTTTCAGACGGTTGCCTGCTGAGACAGTAAGCTACTTGCAAATTGAAGTCTATATTGTTCTTTTCCTGCAGGTTCCAATTAAAATAATAACTCTCAAGTTTCATCCTAAAAAACACAGGCATTTTGAAAAAACAACCCCTATATATAGCCATCCCCAGTGATACTGCTTAGCATAAGGAATTACATAGCATCAGGAATTACACACACACACACACACAGACATCATGAAGAACTTCAGCTTAGGTGTGCTCATATTGCTTATTGTCCTTGTTACACATTGTCTAGAAGCTGAAGCTCAAGTCTGCAGACCAAGTGGCAAAATTAAGGGTATAAAACCTCCTCCTGGACAATGCAACCAGGAAAATGAGCAAACTTTACACGACTTAACAAGTGTTCACCACGTGTGTCGGGTAACACTAAGGCAGTTCTTACTATCAACAGTTTCGAGAAGGATGGAGATGGTGGAGGACCATCAGAGTGTGATAACAAGTACCACCCCGATAACACGCCAGTTGACAGTCGTGGCACTGCCAAAGGGATGGTACAACAAAGGAAGAAGGTGTCTCAACAACACCACCATAAGTGCTAATGGAAGGAGTGTAGACGTCATGGTGGTTGATGAGTGTGACTCCACAATGGGATGTGATGAAGACCATGATTATCAGCCTCCATTCAACAATAACATTGTTGATGCCTCAAAAGCTGTGTGGGAAGCCTTAGGTGTGCCTTCTGATAACTGGGGCGAGTTGGATATCACTTGGTCTGAGGCTCGAAATTAACCTATTATTTGTGTTCTAAATTCTTGTCTACCTTCTCTGTCTTACCCCACCCCCAAAAAGTTTTTTTTATTTTGTATTTTTAGATGTTTATGTTGTTATTAGTTCATTGTGGAATGAAGTCCTAAACTATGCATCTTGTATTGTAGTCTTCTTCTTGTGAAATTTCCAGATATATATTAGGAAACACGAACTAGTGAATATAAATTTCCAATGGTGGATGGCTCAAATATATAACTTTCCAAGACCAGACTACAAATATGGTCTTAAAGAACTCTGTAAGATGTTTTCCAGAAAATTTCATATGGATCAAAGCATTCAAATTTTGGTGTCAAAGAAACAACTTTCAATCATTCTTGGATTCAAAGGTGGTCCTTTAGATTTCTGTCATTTTGAATGAATAAATGAATAACTTAGGGCATCAGTAGTCTTCAGCGAAAGAAGAGAAAATTGCAGGCCCTCAAATAATTAACTGTCATCGTTTGGGTACCAACCAGTTCATTAATAAAATGATTAAATTATTTGCATTTCTTTGCTTCTTGTAAATCTGCATGGTGCATGAAATTTGAATTGCCTTCTCTTTTTTAAGTTTTAGTAAATATTTTCTTTGTTGGCCTTGAATTAATCTAAACAAATTAAAGGAACACAAATAATGGTCATTAAGGCTGAATTGAACCAAAATTAGCTGCATTCTTTCTTCTCCCCTTGTCAGTCTTAACTTTTACTCCTTCGTTGAATCTATTTATATGATTTTAAAAGATTAAATATAATAAATAAAATGACATATAATAGAAAATTTTAAAGAGAGAAATCACAAATTTTTTATTTTTTTTTTTAAAATAAAGAAAAAAAATAACAATAATGTCACATACCCTATTCATATAAAATTAAGACAACCATAATCATAATCTGTCATGTATTTTAAACACAAAAATAACTTTTATTTTATTTTGGAAAAAACTTATTTTAGTCTTCATTTGTTTCAATATAAAACATTTTAAATGTACATTCAGCAATCTCTCTATAAGCTGCTCTGTGTTGTTCTCTCGCCTGCACTTTCTCTTCTTTGTGCTTCGGACCTCATCAGTGCCTTTTCCCATTTTTGCGAGTAATCATTAAAAATTATGCAAAATCCATAATCAAAAGGCACATGATCTGAAATACCACCAAGAAACAAACTAAAAAAACATGTCAAAACCTTTCAACGATTGAGAAGCCTAAAATTCAAAAGTGACGTTCAAAAAGACAACAAATTAAGCCACATCCACAATTTTTAATACAATCAGATCAATAAGCCCTAATCTACCAGCAACAAAGAAATGATTCGAATTAGAAAATAAAACCTAACCTTTGGCGGTCCAAGACTGAGGAATGGACGGTTTTGGGGAGAGGAGATCGTCAGGAAGATGAAGTTTGCCTCCAGCCATCGAAGAATTGCGAGAAGATCGAGCGAAAGGAAAAGACACTGATGAGGTCCGAAGCACAAAGAAGAGAAAGCGCGGGCGAGAGAGCAACACACAGCAGCTTATAGAGAGATTGCTGAATGTACATTTGAAATGTTTTATATTGAACAAATGAAGACTAAAATAAGTTTTTTCCAAAATAAATAAAAGTTATTTTTGTGTTTAAAATACTAACATAGGGAATAGAATTGAACAAATTGATTGGACTAATTTTCAAATCAATATGGAGCTCCAAACTCCAAGTCAAGGGAACTGGTTCCTGAGTGTCTTTTACGCCAGTTCTGTGAATCAGATCAGGGCAACCCAATGGAATTATCTGGAGTCTAAAAAGACTTGTTGGGGGTGATCGATGGATTATATTGGGTGGTTTTAATGAAATTTTAGTGCCGGCTGAGAAGCAAGGTGGAAGTGCTAAACCAGTGTGGGTTCTCAAGAATTTCAAGACTTTGTTGGAGGAATGCTCATTGTCCGATGGGATATGTTGGCTATCCTTACACTTGGTGTAATCAAAGGGGTGGTATGGCAAATATTCAAGAGCGTCTGGACCGGGCTCCGGCTGGTGAAGCATGGAGAGGTTTGTTTCCGAATGATAATTTTAATTTGGTAGGGTGGGTTTGAAGGGGAAGGATAAGATTAGTTATGAGGGAAATGGAAGGAAAGGGAAGGGAATGATAATTTTAATTTGGTATTGTGTTTGGTTGATTAAGGAATGAGAGAAGGATAATAATTATGTTTAGGGAAAGAAAGGAAAGGAAAGTATTTCAGTAAATTTACTATTATACCCTTTTATAATTTAAAATAAAAATTAATAAACTTAAGTATGTAATATTTGTAAAAAAGAAAAAAAAAAAAAAAGAAAAGAAAAATATGAATATAAATATAATATTTTTAGGGTTAATTATTTTAGGGTCCCCGCCTCCATCTTTATTCTCGTTCTGTCTCTGCAACACTCTTTCTCTCTCTCTTTTGCAACTGCAAACCACAAAACTACAACAATCCAAGTTCTAAACCCATATGTTTATCTATCGTTTGCAAGAATCAAAGGTTCAAAACCCATATCGGCATATTGTTTCAGATTGTTCCAAAAATCAAAACCCATATCTCTCAGTTTCCCTTGCCCGCTGTTCCAGTCCGGGTTCGTTGTTTCCATCGCCGGCTGTTCCAGTTCGGGTTCGCTGTACGCAAGTTTCAGCCGCTGTAAGCTTTCCCCCTCTCTTTCTCTCTGCAACGGCTAACTTATATGTATGGGTTTTGTTTTGCTAAATCAACCAATCAAGGTCTGTAATTCTTGTTTTGCTTAACTAAATCCTTGATTTTGTGTGGGTAAAATTGGCATCGCAAGTATCACATGTGCCATTGCCTTCCTTTTCCTTCCGTTTCTGCCCATTTTTGAGAGGTTAACAAATCTACTGTCCAAGCCTTGCCTTAACCCTCCAAACCCTTCCCTCTCATTTCCTTCCCTTCCACCAATTTTACCCAAACACAATTTTTTTATAACCCTCCATCACCTTCCCTTCCCTTTCCCTTCAAACCCACTCTACCAAACTGAGCCTTAATGGTGGCGGGATCTGATCATTGTGTTATCTTTCTTGATCTGCTGCCCAGTTTCAAGTGTCAAGCGAAACAATTTTATTTTGATACTAGATAGGTGTCCGATGAAAAGTGCAAAGAAGTCATTCAGGGAGCATGGGATGTGCACATTCATGGATCTCGAATG